TCATCATCCCGAGACGTCTGAGGTGCTCGCTCTCTATTTAACATGTTGTTTTGATGGTGTTAAATCCGAGCTTCTTCAGTTTTGAGTCTTCGCTATACGCGAAATTGGCTGAAATTTTTCAATTTGATGAAGTGACAACAACAATATTTTGTTTGCCCGAAGGGACCGATTAAATCTCTGGAATCTGTCTTCGAACGTCCTTTCCTAAATGGGTGAAGTGGTTCTGTTGGGGTTGAGCCAGAATGGCCGGCATATTCCACTTCCCACTTCGAAACCTCTTTATTCTGGAAATAAATTGTAACCCTCCGAGGCTTAATAGTAACCCTATTGCCAACCTTTTCTCATTTATAAATATTGTTTTTATTATTAAAGCCTCCGAGATTATAAGGGTTTTACAATTTTGATTAACGTTATCCCTTGTATCCTTATATTCCGAAAATCATAAATAAGATGAATTTAAAAAAAAAATGTTCTACTGGCCTAGAGATTTGATTCTCTTAAATAATTTCAAGCTTTTTGATTGCCGATATTTTGCTAAAACAAACAAGTGTTCCGTGTGTATATGTAAAATATTGACGATGTGTACATTTTACCGGTCGTGCGGTTAAGATTAAAACCAATTTTTCATCCATCCCCTATTCCCCGCATACAACACATGTACATTGCGCCCATGTTTATTTAGTCAACGTCCGTTGAAATTCCACTTTTTATGCAACTCATGGGTGTTTTTTCTCTCCACACGATTGAATACGATTAACCACCTATTCAATTCAACTCAATTTCCTGTCATACGATAACGTTAACCTACCAAAAAAAATTGGTAATCGACCAAAATTGGCCCATTCAGTATTATTTATTAAATAAAAAAAATTATAAGCAAACGTGGCGGATTTTGTTTATAACATGATTCCCAGACAATTTAACATTGTTTTCTATTGAAGAAAGAGATGTTTGTGTTCAAAAATATTCAAAACGTTATCAGCCGTAAAGATCGCGGCGTTAAGTTGCTATTTAATTATAAGAAAATTATCATTCAGAGATATAATTCTGGTCATCTCGATACGTGATTGTTTTACTCTTTCAAATACACAATGTTTTTTGTATATTTTGTTATCTTAAAGTTCTTTCAAGACGAATCAGTTTTCATAAAATTTAAAACATTTCCGTTCAGGGTAATGGTCAATTCAACGAGAATGAACGTAAAAACTAGCTTAATTGAGTATATTTCTATGCAAGAAATGGTTAATGATCGCCGATGGAAAAAGTGAAAAATAATACTGTTTTAAATCCATTATATTTAGTGGTCTATTGAACAAATTACTTCTTTCAATTAATTAATATTTTTATATAAGGTTTGTGGTTGAAATGAAAAAGTTAGCGCCATGAGGGAGATTTGAACCCACGAACTTCGGCTAAATACGCCGCTGCTTTACCACTTGAGCTATCGTGACTTCGATCCACTCCATACAGTTTTATTTTGTCGATCTACTTATTATTATTTCATTGTTTGAATTTTTGGAATTAAAGAGATTTGGAAAATAATTATAACAATCAAAGATCAAATAGAGCGATAATTTTTGACAGAAAAACAAAAAATGGACAGAAAGTCCGACTAAAAACAAACTAAAAAATTAATTCTTCAAAACATCAATCATTTCTACGTATAAAAAGCTGATAAGTTTAAGTTGGATGTCAAATATTAATTTTATTTAAAAACATCTAATAAAAAACACAAGTTTGTTACAAATTAAACTCTTATTAAAAGATTTCGTTATTCTAATCCACTCAGAGGGGAAAAAAGTGACCACAATCCATTAAATATCTTACAAAAATGCGGTTCGTTTTAAAGATTTAGAAGTAAATAAAATACAGATAAAATCTCCCACTTGTGTTTACAATTGAATGTTGTAACTGAATAGTTGATCTTTGAATAGTTAATCTCTTTTCTGTAAACTTTCTTTATAACTTCACTAATTTTCGTGGTCCGCTTGACCATTTAATATGTTTTAATTAATTAAGGTTTTTAGATGAGATAAAAAATTCCGTGTCACGAGCGGATTTCGAACCTACAACCTTAAGTAATAAGCCGCTGCTCTACCACGTGAGCTATCGTGACCTCGATCCACTCGGACACTAACTTCCCATCTCAACCCCAACGTTTGTATTTTCCCTCCTTTTTGCCATTTTTCAAATGTCATGTAATCTATTTGATTCTCGGCGACAAATGAAATGGCCACGGAGAAATTTAATGAAGATATACTTCATTTTAACTTAATAAATTCACTAGTTTTCGTGGTCCGCTTGACCAATTAATATATTTCAATTAATTAAGGTTTTTAGTTGAGATAAAAAATTCAAAAGGTGGGGTTGAGATGGGAAGTTGGTTTCCGAGTGGATCGAAGTCAAGATAGCTCAAGTGGTAGAGTAGCGGCGTATCTGGCCGAAGGTCGTGGGTTCGAATTCCGCTCGTGACACTGACTTTTTATCTCAACTAAAAACCTTAATTAATTTCTTTATAACGTTCCGGTGATTGATTTCTTCAAGTTGTACCATTTTTAAGTTTCAAATTTGTATGAGTGATGGTTTTAAGTGGTACAGATTCGGCTTGAATAGCGTTATTGGTAATGGAGAAAGTCAAACGTTTGTGGCCACAACAACTGTCCACGGAGACTTCCATCGCTACCAAGATACTAGAGCTTACTCAAGAAGGTATGAATCAGGTCGCACACTTCCCATATTTCAGAGAACTGACCATTTTATTGATTCGAATGTACTCCTTAATCGACATTCAACCGCTGTTCAGATCACGTCTTTGTTCAAGTAAGAAATGCTAATGGTCAGAAGCTGGGTTACGTGCGAGAAGGTTTACGACTGGTCCAGAACTTCTGACGCGGCACGGAACAGCACTGTTCAATTTTGCAAGAAATCACATCAAAAGTCACACAATCTTGATCTCTATCGAGGATTCCCAATTGGCGACGGTTTTATTTTTATGTATAACAATGCAAGGCTCGTTAGTGACTTCTTGGAACGGGCTTCACTTCAATGTTTGGAGTAGCCAGCATTTAGTCCCGACTTAAACCCTATTGAACACCTTTGCAACGAGTTGTAAAGAGAGTAAAACGTCGTCCAATGATGCCAGGAGCTTCCTGGGAATTAAAAATGGAGCTGTTCAAGATTTATGAAAATATTCCACAGCACTGGAGAGAGAGAGAGAGAGAGAGAGAGAGAGAGAGAGAGAGAGTGAGTGAAAGGGAGTGAGAGAGAGAGAGCGTGACATGATGCCACGTCGAAAGCAAGCGGTGATCAACGCAAGAGGAGGAAATACACCGTACTGAATTGAATATTTAGGGATGGTTAGTTAAAAGGTTTATATATATNTATATATATATATGTATATATGATAATATATACGATGAAGAAAATATTTAATTCAGTACGGTGTATTTCCTCCTCTTGCGATGAACACCGCTTACATTCGACGTGGCATCATGTCACTCTCTCTGTCTCTCTGTCTGTCTGTCTCTCTCTCTCTCTCTCTCTCTCTCTCTCTCTCCTTTTGCGATGAACACCGCTTACATTCGACGTGGTGGCATCATGTCACTCTCTCTGTCTCTGTCTCTCTCTCTCTCTCTCTCTGTCTCTCTCTCTCTCTCTCTCTCTCTCTTACGAGGATTCGCAACAGCAGAGATCATATCAACCTTCAGCGTGCCGATGTGGATGCGGACCCGGGGACTTTTACCTTAAAGTGATGAGTGCCAGCATCGTCTAATATTATTCTGTAAAAATATTCAGTAAACAACAAAATATAAGTCATAACGATGCAATTAATTACTAACAACAGTGAAGGTGGCTACTTTTTTCATCTCAGTGTAGAAAGACGAATAATTTTCGCCTACTTGGATTGGAACATGTGGTCTGGCGCATTACTAAGTGCACCACTTTACCACTCTATATATTTTTAACTTTATTTACGATACGATAAATGCGCTAGAAAGTCTTCAAAATCTTATTTTTCTTTAGAGTCACAAGAAGAAACACATTTACTGTTGAATTACGAGGACGTTTCACCCTTAGGAGCAAAAATATTATCTGTCTTAGTTTTATTCTTTTTTTTTATATTTGTGGACCATAAAAAAGGAAAAAAAAATTTGTTGAATTATGTTTCGTTTAAAAATAAATTTTGAACAACAGAACATCGTTGTACGGGGCCATCTATTCTTCCTAATTTCCTTTAAATCTAATTAAAAGAAGAAATGTGTGTGTATGAGAGAGAGAGAGTGTGTGTGTGAGAGAGAGAGAAAGTGAGAGAGAGAGGGAGAGAGTGAGAGAGTGGGTGAGTGAGAGAAAGAAAAATAAGCGTGGATTAATCGCTAAATCGGCGTTATATTAGGTTTCAAACCAGCACGGCTTATTCGTCATGTGGGTCTTAAACTATTCAACCGCCTTGCTATGAGAAATTATTTGGAGGAAAGCCGGAACAAATTCTTATGTTGTACTCGCTTAATTTTACACTCCATGTAAAAACATTGAATCATGGAAACGCTTTAGAACTGTGAATTCCTAAAATTCATCGACATAGCCTCATAACGTGTGCAAATCTTTTGTTCGATTTCGAATTTACGACTGACGTGCTCGATTTCGAAAAAATGTTTTAATTTTGTGCGCAATTCCAGGTAACGAATTTTTTTCCACCGGAAATTATGTCTTGATTTTTTTTAATATACACCTCTAAAGCTCGTAAAAGTATTATTAAAAACACCGACATAAATCTCCACCTTTTACGATGTAACAAAAGAAACATGTCAACACGAAACTCACAGATTCGCACTCAAAATGTCGAATCGTGTCTGAAAAACCAAGCCAATGTTGATAAGCAGATTAATACGAACGGTAACACAAATAATCAACAAGAATCTTTCCTTTACAGACATGTTTTTAAATTGCTTCAGCGAGTAATTAAAAATTAGACTTTTTTCCAAAAGCCAAAAAAATTATACCTCTGCTGGGAACGTGTGCCCGTTGATCGTGTGTTCCGATCCCGTCTCGTCGTCCATTCCGTAGTGGACGTGGATGTGGTGTAGTTGGTATTTGTAGGAAAGGGGTCCGCCTGTGAAGTTGACGTGCTGTCTCGTCGTGTTGTCTACTCTAAACAGGACGCTGTGCCCCGTGTTCGTCAGCAGGCCGTTCACCTGTAAACAAAAAATAGCGGACCCTGATATAATAGGACGACCCTGCCTTTTTCCACTTAGAATTAAATACAACAAAGTCTTTTAAGTTAAAATCTTAAGGAAGAGGCATCGCCGACGGCAGCGGGTTACAAAGAAATTGAGTTATTGCGTGCAGCAGCCAAGGTGAAAAATGGGCGTAATAAATTACAAACTACCCTCCCCGCAGCACCGTCATTTCCCGCCCTTGCTCTTCCCCGAAGAAAGCTTTTCATTACTTCAATTCTCGTTGTATAAGAAATAGCCCAGAAGCAAGTCGTAACTTAATAAAATAATACAGGATTTGCGTTCATAGCGAGCTGATTCAACACTACAAGCATTTCTACATGCAGTTAAAATAATTTCATGATCAGAAAGAAATATTTTATATAATTAATTATTATCAACTATAGAACCAACAGTACTCTGTTTAAATAATGCTCTACAAAAAAATAACGATAACTGAAAGAATTCATTTAATTTTGAATCTCACTTATATACACAATACAGTAAATTAAACAACATAATTCATACATTAATTTATAATTCATACAAAATAAAATGGCAAAAAAATTTAAGTATAACATTTTTTCATCGTTGCTTGTTTGAAGTGTTTCTGCTATAATTTAGACTTTTGACAATATTGTTTGCATTGCTGTGATTATAATTTGAATTATGCTTAATAAAAATAAAATTTGTGTTAATTGGCTATTTCAATGATTAATATTCAATTATCTCCAAGAAAAACTTAATTATTCTCAACAAATTTAAACAATAATAAATATTTACTATTTATTTAATTTATTAAATCTATTTTTAGGGACTGTCTATGTGCAAGTTTGGTCTGTTATTTTTCTTTAAGATACAAAAGAACGGTTTTTTAAATAAACTGTATCGAATCAATTTGAATAAATTTCAATGCAACAACGTTCAATAAACCCTTCAAGTTTAACCTATCTTTGAACTATGTATTTATTATTAATTACCTCTCTTTTAATTAATTTCCTATATAATTGATATCATAAATCCAATTTAAGTATGTGTAAGATTATTAAATTAAAATCATTCATAACATCGGGCTTGACAATTATTGCATAACGAAATGTACTTTCACAAAAACAATATCAAATAATTATTATTGCGTGATTAAGTTCTTTTAAACATGGCTTTTATAAATCTTTACAAATTTATGATACAGCTAATTTATTTTTTTTTATCTTTCACCTGTTAAAATTATATTAGATTATTATGGTTTAAATAAAAGCTGTAATTGCTCTAAATGCGTTTTGTTAGTGTTACTCCTGTTTGTTACTGTTAGTGTCCTTTTTTTCTTCATGTTACACAATCCAAAGTGAAAGGAAATAAAATATAGGATCTTATAAATAAATTGAACTTACTCGGTGCTTGTCCATGTGGAGGGCCCGGAGGTTTGGGTCGAATAGAAGCTTATTTGGCTCAAGATTGACCGGGGATTGCCGCCGCCCTTTTGTACACATACTCCAATCTGGGTTGATAAGCCCCCAGAAATCTGGCCCTGAAACAATTATTTGCCCTTAGTTTTTGACCGTCTCCGACTGACCGAATTAACAAAAACATATTTTTTTCCAAACCGAGTTTATTGACGTGTTTAAGCTCTCGGAAGCTTTCAGCTGACAGTTGGATGTTTATTTTTAAAATGGCATTATCCTGTTTATTTTTTGCTTCCTTTAATTTTACTGGGCAGCTTGATAACAAAAACATACGTACGCATAATTCATGTCATGATCTTATTCATAATAATTTTAATTATGTGCATGTTTTTTATTTTCAATGTTTTTCTTTCTTTAATGTAAGCACGAAAAATTATATTAAGTTTGTAGATAGTGTTTCGGAAAAAAACAACATTTCCATTCAAATGGACTATCTTCTTATATGTATTATAGCCATACATACAATTCATTATGTCTCGACAATTTAAATGATCAACTATCGTATATCATACTTGGGTGACTTACGCACTTACAGTACACCACGGTCAAGTTTTGCTGTAGCTCTCATCATCCTGCAAATACTCATGCAGAACTGGCATTGAATCATTTATTGGGCCCGACTACACTTAAACTTGAGTTCCTCATTGAAGATGGCGAATTGCCGAAACGCGTTTGAGTAGTTCAACAAACCAGCATGTGAAGACGGACCCAATGACGGTACAGTAAATGTTCACCGACTCGCAGACAAGCATCCAAACCTGAATATTGAGTTTGGTCTTCCTAGTCTTGCTGTTTGCATACATCAAACTCGTTTCGGTTCGTTGTCATCTTCTGGCTCTGTAAAATTTGTGTTCAGACAACTATTTTTTGTTCATGAAAGGTAGGAAGATTGTGACGAGTTATCACTTAGTATCTTTGATGGAACAAGTTCGAGGTTTTTTTTATTGTTGTGACCACTTTTTTTTTGTCGACGACTTTTTCACTGAACAAGTTTCCTTTTTTAAATTGTGTAATTTTTTCAGAGAGCAAGTTTCCTTTTTTAAATTGTGTAAAGTATTGAGCTTTAAGTGAGCTTTTGTTGGTTTATTTAATTCAGTACGTTTTCGCCTTTTTTTTCATTCAAAAATTTCAACTTCTTCTATAATATTAGGGAGGTGGTTTAGGTGGAAGTAGTTTGATTTATCCGGTCCATAAGTAATCTTAAGTGTAGGCCTTTTATTTGTTTTGTTTTCTGTATGTTCAATATATTGTCTATATTCGCGTAATAATATAGTTGCACGATTTTTGTCGGGTGCGATTTCATATAGTTTGTGTTTTTCGTTTTAAGTACTATTTGTTAAATACATTAGTACTTATGTACGTTTCCTTCCCTACGTATGTAAATTTGATCCGTTTAACATGAAGTTTTCATTGCGTGAGATGATGAAGGAAAAGCAAATTTCAATGCGATTTGATCGAGTGTAAGATGAAAAAAATATGAGTATTAAACAACTAATATAGGTACAGGAACTCTTCTGTACAATTCCGAAAAGGCATAGATAACAGCAATTACCGAACTGATCAATTAATGACTTATCTTGGTGGAGCAACATCCTAGAAGGGAGAAGGGCAATTCCCACCCAAGAAATTCTCATCTACCTTATCAGCGATAGTCAATAACTATTAGGTTATTTATCGGAAGTATGTATAAAGTAAAATATGTAAGAAACGTTTTTCTATATATAACTTTAGTTATATATTTTATTCATTTAGAAATCGTAAGATGCGGTCTGGTCTCTCGATTTCTAAATAAATATCGATTAACGGTTGCTAATCACCACATATATATTTTTTGTAGTATACATTTAGTTTTTCATAATGTTACTAAAGAAGAATTTGAGAATGTTGGGACCAAGAGTTGTCACAAACATTAGTCATTACTTCCTTAAATTTCGAGGTTTATTGACTAAATTACTTCTTTCAATTAATTAAACTTTTTATGCAAGGTTTTGGTTGAAATTAAAAGGTTTCACGAGCGGGATTCGAACCCACGACCTTTGACTAAATATGCCGCTGCTCTGTGAGCTATCGTGACTTCGATTCACTCGGACACCCAAAAGGAAAAATGGCAAAAAGGAGAAAAAATTCGAAAGGTTGTAGGTTGAGACACCAACTCCCCATCTCAACCTACAACTTTTCGGACACCATCTCCCCATCTCAGCCTACAACCTTTCGAATTTTCCCCCTTTTTGCCATTTTTCCTTTTGGGTGTCCGAGTGAATCGAAGTCACGATAGCTAGAGTGGTAGAGCAGCGGCGTATTTAGCCGAAGGCCGGGGGTTCGAATCCTGCTCGTAACACTGACTTTTTCATTTCAACCCAAGCCTTACATAAAAAGATTAATTAGTTGAAATTAGTCATTACTGTTTCAACGACAATTTTATAGAGAAAAGAACGAAAATGCTCGTCCAGATCGCATGAACCATAAAACAGAACGCATTACAGCAACCTCATCGCCCGTGATCTCACCGCATCTGGGCCTTGGAATAGGTCGATGATATGAAAAGTAGACGGCAGCTCGTTTTTTGCGATTCCATCTTCTAGTTGCCGGATTTTTGTTTTTGCCCATACTTGCCGTGCCTAATGGATATCCACGACGATTTAACTATACTAATTAATTGCCGAAATAGGGGAATCTAGCTAATCCTAAAGCCTCATCTTGTCTTCTTGTAATAAAGTAGGCTCAGGAAAGAAAAGGATTGTTGTTCATCAATTAAAACATAATTTGAAATACAAGATTTTCTTAACATTTTGAAAAAGAATTAGTAACTGCAAACAAACCAAATAAATTGGGTTTTTAACTGATAAATAAAATGATTAGGTTAAACAGATATGTAATTATTACTTTTAAGTACTATACTACCTACACATATCTCTCTTCAGTTACATATTTCAGTTCAGTAAAATTATTAGTAGTAGTACAGCAAGAGTATTAGTATACTCATTCTGATAACGCAAAGGCTCTCAACCTTAAAACTCCGGCAAAAAATAGAAATAAATTATTGTTTTATGCTGGTTTTCATCAAAACAAATTTTCTATAGTTTTAAACTTAAACTGTGCATGTTTACAAATAAGAAATCCTTCTTAGAGGGTTGCATACTGTACAATCAAAAATAATATGGTGCAACGTTTCTTTAACATGGACAAAACTAAATAAATGTCATTTGTATTAATTTTATAATAACGGCCATTTTAGAATATTTTTAATGTTTCACAATTAGCAAGTCCTAACAGAACTAATAACGTTATTTTCCTAATGGATAAACTAAAAAATAAATATTGTTCAGCAGATTAGATATCATTCTGAACCAAGTGTTAAATCGCGATTTGATGCATTTATCAATGTCTTTGGAGTATATGGATTTAAATATATTATGGAATTCCAATATAGTATGGATTTAAAGTCTAAAGAGCTAAGACAACTTATTGAGTTCGGCAAATAATTACCACTGATAGACCAGCAGGAATTCGTGTATTTTAGAGAATTTGTGGGTTATCGCATGAGCCCATAGTCGTGTAACAACACGGGTTTGTTGCCTAATTTGCAGATTGTGTTGTAAATTATGTCGCGAACTTTTTTCAAATTGTTTTGTTGGTTTCTATTGTATTTTTCTTCTGTTTGTGATACTGTTTTTATTTTTTCCGTTACGTAAATGTGCTGCCATTTTGGGTCAACGAGGATGTGATTACTATCAAAACACTTATTATTTAGTTTAATACAAAGTGAAAATTAATAACAATGACGAAACTTTCGTTTCATTTGTTGGTCCTAAATTGGGTTTATTTTTAACAAAAAATGTATTTTAGGTATTTATTTAGAAATCGTGAGATGCGGTCTGGTGTGATGTAGGTTTCAGAATAACATTTTCTTTATCGTGCCAACGTTTCGATCTTCATTGAGATCATCTTCAGGGCATGGGATTTACAAACATTTTTTACATATTACAATTAAATTTTGGATGTTGAAAAGTAAATTTATACAATGCAAAATATATTTTGATATTCAATCAAAGTATTTCTACTCACTCAAAGTCTTCTGTGTAATTGTGTCATTCTGGCGTTCATGTCGAGAGTGCCGGTGAGATTTTGCTATTTTGTGTTTATATAAAAAATATAAACACAAAATAGCAAAAATATAAATTCACTTTTCCACATCCAAAATGTAATTGTAATATGTAAACAATGTTTGTAAATCCCAGGACCTCTCAATAGGGATGATCTCAATAAAGATCGAAACGTTGGCACGATAAAGATAATGTTTCTCTGAAACCTACATCACGCCAGACCGCATCTCACGATTTCTAAATAAATATCGATTAACTGTCACTAATCACCACACGTATTTTAGGTATTTTTATTAGTGTATTTTTCGTGCAGCAATCGAAATTTTTTCACCACAGAAACTCTTTTTATTTTATTGTCTATTGCATTCAAAAGTAAAACAAATGTTGGGCAATCGGATTCTAAATAGTACAAAATACCCTTTGGCTTTAAGGTCTTTGAACGAGTGTTTTTCTTAACGCGCGTTTTATTAAGAGAGAGCTTTTTCTTTTTTTGTGACCGGCGTATCTCCCTTCGTATACACCCTTTGCGCCCACCCCCGCAATCCCCTTCAGTCTTAACAAAACGTAGTGACAAAGGCTTGCCAGCTTTACAGCACCCCGGACAATCCGTCTTCTCGTTCTCACACCCTCCTGAACACACACTCACACCCTCCTCGCCCTGCCCTTTTACACCCCCATCCAATCCCCCTCACTCCATCCGCCGCCCCCGAAACTCCCGGCTCCCGCTACGACCGCGGTCTTACTGTTGACAAACTTTAGGACCGTCCGTAAAAAACGAGGGTCGCTTTGACGATCTAGTGGACAGCCCTTTTGGTCTGTGGCTTTCAAAACTGGACTCACGCCAACATTTCGAGCAAATAAACTAGTATGAAGAATTACGAAATCATCCGTTCATTTTATGTAGATTGATGAGATTGATAATAATTGAATGGTCGTATTCTATCAAACTAATTTCCCAAGAG